GGCATCCCTGCATGGCTACTCTGGCCACCATGACTCAGCCTGGCCATCAGCCACCATTAGCACTTGGAGAGTCTCTCGCAGGGACAGCTGTCTGCAAGCCTGCCTGCAGACAAGGTAAGGATGACTAAAGCACGGACCATGTGCTCTTAGATGTGGGGCAAATTTGGATAGTGAGAGTAGAGGGTAGAATTCATCAGGTGTCTGGTCTTTAGAGTCAAATAGCCATAGGTTTGTAGCCAGTCCTATCACTTATCTGCTGCAAGGGCCTCCTTTCTGTAAAATGATGTAACCACACCCACCCCAGTGGAGACATTCTGAGGACCAAATGAAATAAGGTGTGGAAAGTCTGACATGGGGCTCTAGCTTCTAGCAGGGGCTCAGAAAGCATTACTTTCCTTTTCTAGTCTCCATGCTGTGTTCCTGTGCTTGCTGTTTCTTCCTCTTGAAAAGCCATTACCATGTTCCTTACTATCAAACTCCTACCCATCCCTCAAAACCCAATTCAATTCCTCTTCCTACATGAAAGCTTTCTGGTCCATCCAGCCAGACAGACCCACTACTTCCTGCTCAGAACTTCCAGAATACATTACACAGGGCCATTGGGCCCTGCCAAGGGAGGAGGATGAGGGAAGGCCTCCTGGAAGAAGAGACATTCAAGCACAGACCTCAAAGAAGAAGCAGGCAAAAAGGAATGAGCAGAGCATTCCAGACAGTGTGAACCACGTGTGCCAAGGTCAAGAAGCCAGAGACAGCTTGAGGGATGAGAGGAATTCAAGTCCTATACCAGGGGCCTTCCCTGACCACTCTAGCTAAAAAAGCAACTCTATTCTTCATTGTCACCCTGCATGGATTTTCTTCACTACCAGCCAATTACATTATGTGTTTATTTGTTGATTGCTGTGTCTCCAACTGGAATTTTAAGCTCACTAGAGCAGGTACTTTCTCTTCTTCACTGACTTCTGTATCCTCCTCATGGCTCATTATCACTGCTAGTTTAACAACTGCTAGATCCTGAGTTCCAAGACAGAAATTTGGCTATCTAGTTCTCTATTACATCCCCAGCACAGGGTGAAGACACAGTAGGACCTTAATGAATATTTCTGATCAAATAAATATTGCCCAGAAGAGATATTCAATTCCTCAGTGAATAAATGCAGGAATGGATGAGTGAATGCAGGTATGCATGGATATATACACACAACACATGAATTGATTAATTCATGCATGAATACAGCTCTCACATTCATATCATCAAAGCCCAGAGGCTGACTCTGAGCCGCCCCACTTGGTCTTGTTAAGCTTCAGAGGTTTCTATCTCATCTTGGCCCTGGCCATTCAAAGCTTCTTTTCTTATCCACAGCAGCCGCATTTCTATTGTCATAAGGGGCAGCAGGCCATTTCCCTTAAGCCCCTCTGTTCTGAGCCCTGGGAGCTCACCAGATTCCCAGCCCTCTTGGAGGAGGTCGGCTGACCCTGGTGCCTGGACCTCTTCTCATTGTAAGACATTTTTACAGGAGCCTTCTATGGGAATCGTCAGCATTCCATTCTCTCAGAGAGTGGGCTGTGTATTTGGCCCGTTTTTTATTAATTGCAAATTAATGCTGTGCTGGGTGTCTATTTTAGTAGACATGCTTCCAGAGTGCGGAATGCAGCCCAAAGCAGCACATTGCTCTCATTCTTTCTGCTGACCGACTGTGTGAATATTTTTAGAAGCCACACCCTCTCGCAGTGGCCAGATAAATAATTTCCAAGGCCAGATGTGCTCTCTGCAAATCCACATCAGGCAGGGAAGGGGAGAGGAATGAGCTACACGGCTCTCCCACCCCATTGCAGCGACATGTGACAAGTTTAAACCAGTAGCATTTATATAGGCTCCCTAGGCCAAAGTCCTCCACATTTGAAACGTGGAAAATGGATCCACACTTAGAGAGGCACCAGAGGGAGCTCCAAGAGAGGACCTTGCTGCTCATGTCCCGTTGGTTGGTGGCTCATGTGTCCGTGGTCCCCCAGGTCCAGACACGGATGGCAGGGGCTCTCTTGAGCATGGAGGCCAGCTTGTGGCCATGTGTCTGCCTGCCTTTGTCAGCAAGGGTCCTTTCTAAATATGTTTCAGCAAAATGCTGAGTCAGGAAGAGTTGAGCATATACCACCAGAAGACAAATCAAGACCAGCTGAATCACATTTTCTAAAACCTTGGAAGTGGATGCAAGATGATGAAAAGATAATTTGCCCGGAAGTCAAACACATGAGTTCTAATCCCAGCTCGTCATTCCTTTATTCCAAAGTCAAACCATTTTGAAGTACCTACTGTGTGCCAAGCACTAGTCCACACTCTGGGGAAGCAAAGACACAATAATTTAGTCTAGACTGTGTCACTGCGTGGTCATGGGCATTATTATCTAGACTCTCTGGGTCTAATCATTAAAACAAGTGGTTGGAAAATGACCCCCAAAGTTCTTTGAAGATGTAGATTCTCAGATCTGAGTAGGATTCCTTGAACAAGGAGGAAAGGAATTGAAAAGTGCTGATAATGGGAAGATCTGGTTTCTCTCTGGGATGTATGTGTGCATGCGTACCCATGCTTTACCGTGGGAAATGCCAGGATTAGAAATTCTTAAGGAAAAGTGTATGCCTAAGCCTTCATTGTTAATACTGTTTTGTGTGTGTGCTCTTTCCCTCCATCATTCACAGGGACCCCAGGTTGAAGAACTTGGTGCAGGGGAACTGTCAGGTCCAACATCATTGCCCTTTTGCTTACACAAACGAAGCCATTCTTCTGGGCTCCTGCCTCACTGTTTCCCTGCACAACTGCTTTCAGAATTCTAATCATTCTTTTCCTCCATTAGGGAATTCTATGATTGCATAGAAAGCTATGTGTCTTATCACTTCTGGGAATACATCATGGGACCAAGGGGTCACACTGCACCATAGAACCCAATCCCTAGGCAAGAGGCTCACATTCCAGGCCTTGTAAAGACGACATTTAGTTTTGAGCGCTCTGGGGGCAGGTGGCAGGAAGAATCTGGAGAGGAAGTCAATAAGGTTGATGACACAAACCCTTAGAAAAATGTGGCCCTCAAGCCAGGACCAATTTTTCAGCCATGACCTGATCACCACTCCCCAGGACCTAGGCATCTTCAGAGCAGCTGACTTCCGGTTCGATTCCCTCTCCAGTGGCCAGCCACTTAAGCAGGCTCCCAGTATAGTAACAGTTAAGCGTGAATTGCTTTGATTGTAGTATTGTCTAAAATCTTCACGTTTGTTATTGACTCCCCAGGACTGGGTACAGGACATTGCACACAGTAACTGTTCAGAAAATATTCATCAAAAAAGAAAAAGAACAAATAAACAATAATCTGCAGAGATAGGAACTGGCATCCCTACTTGACAGATGAGGAAACTAAAGCCTAAATCATCATGAAACTTACCCCAAATCCTGCCATTACAAAGGGGCAGGGTTGCAATATCTAACTCCAAAGCCACTGCTTTTAACTTTGACTCATTCGGACACGAGTGCTTAGCAGTTTACAAAACTAAACACAGAATGTGTCATTCACTACTCTAAGCAGGCCTGTGGGTAGTACTGTTACCCTATTTTACAGTTGAGGAAACAGGGTTAAGTGGTTTTCCCAGTGTCAAGAAGCTAGTAAGCCACACAGCCCGGAATTTCCTAACTCTATAACCAGTGCTCCTTCTAGAATAATCCAACCACTTTGCCAGAAATAGACCCTGAGATTCCAGTTCCTATTGCCATGGAAAACTACTTCGACCAACTATTTCCTCCTTATTCTATGGACTGCATGTGACTACGGTCAACCACTCTTCAAGAGCAAAAAGTCACTGGGTCATGGCTTCCAGGGGCCTCTCAAAGGATGGTGGTGACTAATGGTTGCCGCCATGATCTGTACAGAGAATCCCAACACCAAAGCGACTCCATCCTTCCAAGCAAAGAAACAAGTCTCATCACACGCTCCTCCACTGATAGCAGCGACAACAAAAAATCATTCCCATGCTTTGTCCAGGGACCAGGGATAAGCCACTAACGTCACCAGTGGCCAATTGGAGGGCTCCTGCTGGTGCCGGGAGTACTCAGGCCGTTTCATAATGAAACCCATGCAGTGAGCTCCGTTTATTTTGAAACCTTATTTGCTTATTTTGTAGACGTGGTCAAAAGGACATTCAGAGGGCTCCCCGGGAGGCACTTGAACCCTGTGGGCCAGGAGAGCTTTCTCCAGCTCCAGCAGCAGCCAGCAATAATACTCTCTGTGTGAGTAAACTTCAGAACTTGCTATTTCCCAACAGCAAGCACCATCCCCATTTTGGTCAGCTTCCCAAGTCCATGGCTGGTTTCAGGAGTGGGAAGGTGGAGAGGGAGAAGTAGGAGACAGGGTGGAGAGTGGCAAAGCAATGGCCAGGAAAAGAGTTCCAGTCTAAAATAATTTAGGGCCCTGCTAGAAAATCAAGCAAAGCAACTTGAATTTGGGCTCATGAATCAGACAGACATGGGTTCAAATCCCAACTCCACTCTTTACCATTGGATTACCTTGGGCAAATTACTTAGTTTTCCTGTGCCTCGGTTGCCCTCTCCGTGAAATTATGTAAATAACAGTACCTACCTTGTAGAGTTGTCGTAAAGATTGAATTTAAGTGATATCAGGCAAAAATATAAAATACATATGTATCTATTGGTTGCTAAAAGTATTGTTATGGTGATGATTTTAGACTATGAGCTTCCTGAGGAGAGACACTGTATCTCAGTCATCTCATCTTACCCAGGGAGGAAGAACAACGCCCAGCATGTAGCAGGAGATCAATAACTGCTTGTCGAATGTAATTGTTTGAACTGGACTTTGAGCTCAAGCAAAGAGACTCTTCCCCACCAGCCTGCCAGGTAGGAAGTGGCTGCCTTATTTCCAGGCTGCGGCTTGGAGCGGGTTAAGCCTCCACAAGGGCTGCAAGACCCAGGCCCTGCACATCCATCAACGAGACGAGAGCTTTACCTTAATATTGCAGTTGTCATCGAGCAGTATATTTTCCAGCTTCAAGTCCCGGTGGACCACACCGTTCTGAAATGAGAAGACAAAGAGGGAATTGAATGGGAGCGGCTGGGATGAGAACAAGAGAGAAAGAGGAAGAAGGAGGGTGCGCAAAGGGAAATGTCTGACAGATTAAAGAAATGCGCCAGCCCGGTGGTCTTCGCCTCCATCCTTCAGGCTGCTCTCACTGTCTTGACGCTCCCCCGCCAGCGACCGACCAGCGACAGCAGAGCATTAGTCACTTGCTGTGTGGTTAAGGGAAAAATGACTGGAATCTGTTTTCCCCCAGAGCCTGTAAAACAGCAGGGGGATTCTTTGTCGGAATGTGATTCCACTGTGTGAAAGCAATATAATCCCAGGCAGCGGCAAACAATGTCTGTCTGGGATGGGATTCCCAGGGAAGAAGCAGATTTCTCTGCTGGGGACTCAAGACTTGTGGGGCTCACAGGCACTCCTCGTCTGTCTGTCGGTCTGTCTGTCTGTGTGCCTGCCTGCCTCCCCAATGCTGGAAAGACATCTGGCTCAATCTATTGCGACCCATTTTGATCTGTCCTGAGGATAACATTTCCTAAGCAGCCTGGAGAGAAGACTCAGAAAGTCCCTCTCTGCTCAGCAGGACTCAGGGCTGGGTGAAAGGTGAAGCGTGAGCGCAGACCAGTGAGACCGGGACCACTGGCCTGACCAAAGCAGGTGGCTGCCGTCCTGCCTGACCTTTCCATTCAGGCAAACTCTGGCAAGACTGGAGGCTGAACTTCAATGACCAGCAGCCAGCCAGCTGAAATGTGAAAAGCAGTCATCAGCCAATAGGCTGTCGGTCTACACAGCAGTAACCATTAGCCTTCCTCATTCTTTTTTAAGACTATCTTTTTTATTATCTTTTTAGGGGGTGGGTGGGCATGGGAAGAGCAGTGGGCCTGAAAGAACTGGCTATTTAGGGGTGCACGGACAAGTAGCGGGGGGCACTGAATGATTCTGAACATCATTCAGCATAAAGGACATCTGCAATCAAAGCTGCTCTTTTGAGCAAACCAACAGGCATGTTGATGGGTGGTTCTTTCTTGTTTATTTTCCTTTTCGTTTGACCATTCTTAATATCTCCAAAAGCACTGCTCAGAGGGAGAAATGAAAACATGTATTTCTACTAATCTTTTTCTAATTCAAGCCTGCAAGGAGGCCTTCTGAATTCAGAAATGCACAAAGCCAAGTCTCTTAGAAGAAAGATGTCAACTACAAGGCGCCTGATTCCATTAATTTTAAATATCAGGAGCAGTTTGGTTTACATTGCTTCATTCCTGGTTTTCGTAATAAGATGGAATGAGTCTAATAAAGCCTCATTCATACAGAATCCAAGTGTTCACACACTTCAAATCACAAAACTATCATCTCTATGGTGATTTACAATGATACCTGATGATGAAATACAAAATATTATACGATTCAAATCATGAGCACATTTTGAGTCAACAAAGAGAGGTCAAACAATGTTCACACGGGTTAAGGGTTTTAGATTTGAGTAACTGTCTTCTAATTACTTACAGAGCCACTCTCAATTAAACACAATATTTAACAAACCAGGAGGCCCCATGTTGCGATCATTTGTATAAACAAGTTGACTCTGTTTTGGATGCCCTGTTGGACTCAAGTCACATTATCCTCAAAGTAAATGACTGTTCAGGGTGTGACAGATCTGGAGAAAGACTGAACGAGATGAAAATCATGGTCAAAATGAGTAATAACAATAATGGCTGAGACAGGGCTTGTAATTATCTGTGTTCTTCATGCCTTTTCCAGAAACCAAGAGTGGCTCTACTTTGGCTATATTATTATTATTATTATTTTGGAGATGGGGTCTCACTTTGTCGCCCAGGCTGGAGAACAGTGGCACCATCATAGCTCACTGCAGCCCCAAACTGCTGTGCTCAAGGGATCCTCCTGCCTCAGCCTCCCAAACAGCTGGGGCTACAGGTGTGCAACCTCATGCCTGGCTACTTTAAAAAAAGGTTTTCAAAGATGGATCTTGCTATGTTGCCCTGGCTGGTCTTGAACTCCTGGGTTCAAGCAATCCTCCCCACTCAGCCTCCCAACTAGCTTGGATTATCTTCTGAACACATCCCATCGAGGTGTGCTGTAATAAGACATATGTGCATACAGGTAACCTATGCAAGAAAAGGGACCAAGAGTATAGAAAGGTTTCAAGAACATTTCTCCCAGTAATTCTACTTCTGGAATCTCTCTTAAGTAAATTATTCACATGAGAGGAAAATATTCATATATAAAGATATTGATCACTATTTGTAATAACCAGAAATTAGAAAGAGCCCCAATGTCCAACAATCAAGAATCACAAAGAATTTTTAATAATATAGGAAAACATTTAGATCAAAGTATTAAGTAAAAAAGCCTGACACAAACGATGTAAAATTGAATCCAGTGTGGTACCCTAGATTGGATGCTGGAACAGAAAAAGGTCATTGGTGCCTCCATTTTGACAAAGGTATCACAGACATGTAAGATGTTAATATTAGGGTAAACTGAGGCATAGATGGGAACTCTCTGTACTACCTTTGAAACTTTCCGTAAATCTAAAATTATTCAAAATTAAAAGTTTGCCTAAAAAAAAAAAAAAAGTGAGAAGGAGGAGGAAGAAAACTGAAAAGAAACAAGTGAAAATGTCAAAAATGGGTTATCCCTGGATTCCAGAATCGTGGGTGATGGTAATTTTCTTGTTTCTAGTTCATAAATTCTCCATACACATTGCCATGAACAGATATCACTTTTATAACAGGAAAAAAATCATGCAGTGCCATAAAAACCATCTATGGCCAAAGCTGCGGGCCAGCTGCAGCCGTACCTTGTGACAATAGTGCACGGCGGAGACGATCTGCCGGAAGAAGTGCCGGGTCTCCCTCTCACTGAGGCGCCGCCGCTCACTGATGTAATCGTACAGCTCCCCTTTGCTTGCATATTCCATGATGATCACAATCTTATCTTTGTTCTCAAACACTGCAGAGGGAAAACAGCAATACACAAACACCCTGTTTAGCCAACAAGCTCACTTATGCTACAGAGAATGCGAGAGAGGACAACGGAGACGTCGCCAGGCAGAGGACCAATCAGTCAATTCAGCATCACGAGGCGCTGGGTGTGCTGTCCCGCCAGGTGGGCAATGGTGTGTGTCACCACCATTGTTCCTGGACACGCCTTTGTCATGCTAAGGGAAATGTGGTTCTCTTTTCTGAGGACCCCACTCTCCTTGTAAGATCATTCTCACAACCCTCTCCCGGAACGGCTCTCCTATAGACAGAATAATGGGTAACAATAAACACTACTAATAATTTATTAACCATTGGATATAGACCAGGTACCCAGTCCTGATAGAGCTACTCTGACCCCAAAATGGGTGCTCAATCTTGTCATCTCTTTATAACTTCCCATCTCAGGCAAATAAAACCCAAAGCTTTTAATGTGGCCCACCAAGTTGTGCACGATCCCATGGGCCCCTCTCAGCCTACTACACATTCAATCCGTGTATTTGTTTATTCTGTCTCCCCCAGTCAAATGTAAAAGGGGGTTATCCAGTTTCACTCACTGGTGTATCCTCAGCAGCCAGAACAGTATTTGGCACATAGTAACATAGTAGGAGCTCAGTTAATATTTATTAAATGAGTAAACTCAAACTACATAAAGGCATTTTTGAACATTAATAATAAATAACAATATAGCACTTACTATGCACCAAGTTTGTGTGTAAGGTTTTAAGTACCTCACATGTACTGACTCGTTTAAACCCTACAACAAATGATCAGGGAAATAGCTGTAATTTTACTGTTTGAAAGATGAAGACACTGAGTCCTACAGAGGTTAAGAATCTGGCACAGCCTGCAACCAAGCAGTTTGGCTTCAAAGATCAAGTGCAGAGCCATTAGATGGATGGCCTCCCAAAGAGCTGGCTGGAATCAGCAAAGCTCCGGTCCCCAGCATGGATGGGGAACTAACGCTGCAGCCTGCAGGGCTGCTGCTACTGTCATCTCAAGCCGGCTCCCTGCCACCAGGTCCAGCCCCTTCTCACTCAACCTCCACACCACCAAGGAAACAGTCTCCCCAAATGCTTGTAAACGCTTCTTTCTCTTCAACTCTGATGCTCTCTAGCTGTGATGTTCAAAGTCAGGGTTCCAGGCAGATGGCCAGGGACCCATGCATGGAGGCAGGGAGAAGGGAGGCCACAAATGACAGGCTGTCCAAAGCCACTCCATTGCCACCTGTTTCATACTTTGGACTTTCACATAAGATGTCCTTTGAGCAAGGATAAAATAAGCAATATTTGTTTTGAAATCCATCATCACTCTTAAGGGATATAGTACAAAAACCTTTGCAGGGTACCCAAGACCCTCCCTGAAGGTCCCCTGCCTACCTCCCTCCATCTCATCCACTTTTCTAACATTTCCATCAGGCCCCCTATGCCCAGCACCCTAATTCATTAGCCAAGAATGTGCTCATACGTGGTTTCCACAGCACCCCTCCCACTGCACTAGTCAATACTTGCCTCATAGCACATGCAAACTGTGCTATGGTTTATTTCCTGGTTTACATATCCATGTCCTCTGCCTAGATGGATGGAGCTAAAAACTATAGTGTTGGAATGAGATACTCCTAGAGCTGTGTGATTCTAGGGATGTTTCTTGCCCTCTCTGGGCCTCAGTTTAGTCAACTATAAAACATGAATAATATTAGCAAGTATTTAGAACTGCTGGAAGGAATTCCTGATATCAGGTATGTTCAATGTTTACAAGGCCTTCCCCTTACAGCATACACTCAATAATGTTAGCTAGTATTGTTGCTATCAATACTAATTCATCCCCAGAGCCTAGCACCGAGGCAGACACACATTCAATGAAGAACTGAGTTAACCTGGAACCTATCCTAGGCCTGGGTTCCCTGTCCTCCCATACCTTGTTGCTGGCTGCTAGAAGCTCAGACCCCTCCAGTTCCTTTTTGGCTCCTTCAAGTCCAGCCAAACCTCCCTGATAAAATGAAGGGGAAGGAGGAGGGTAGGAAGGAGGAGGAGAGAACATCCAGATAAAATTGGCTGCTCCAGCGTCTGCTGGCCTCGGTGTACCCTGCAGCTTTGGCTCCTGCCAGGGATTTCAGCCTGTTGTGCACTTTTCATTAACAATAAACTCTGGAAACTGGAAACATCCCGACTGCCTCGGGATGCATGGCTCAGGCCCCAAAAACGAAAGAGTGATAGGCCCTGGAGAGGGCAGCGGGTTTTCTAATTTTAAAAAGAAGGGATGTAGGAAGAAGGAAAGTACTTTGACAGATAAACAAACAAGAAACCTCATACCCCAAAGAGTCTGGTGCGTCTTTAAGGGAGCCAAAGCCTCTGGCCCTTCAGTGACTATCGGGAGGTGTGGACCACTCGCCTCACACAGGCAGAAGGGCTGTTTCAAGGGCTGGATTCTTCCCTCTCCAACTGACTGATTTGGTATCAAGGAGATGTAAACACAATTCGGCAAAATACAGTCCAATCCACCAAATATTTTACTAAGCAGTTTCCATCAATAAGTCCTACTGATCCTGTCTCTACAATATATCCCGAGTCCAGCCGGGCACGGTGGCTCACGCCTGTAATCCCAGCACTTTGGGAGGCTGAAGCAGGTGGATCACTTGAGGCCAGAAGTTACCAGACTGGCCAACATGGTGAAACCCCATCTCTACAAAAAATATAAAAAATTAGCCAGGCGTGGTGGCAGGTGCCTGTAATCCCAGTTACTGGGGAGGCTGAGGCAGGAGAATAGCTTGAACCCAGGAGGTGGAGGTTGCAGTGAGCCGAGATCACACCACTGCACTCCAGCCTAGACAACTGAGTGAGATTTCATCTCAAAAATAAAATAAAATATATCACAGATCTGTCTACCTGTCTCACCTCCAAGGACACCCCTTACCCCCATCCTTACTGGTTGCCAGCCTTTCACACTTGCCTCCCTGCTGACTGCATTTGGAGGGGTCAAGAAATAGTTCCAAATGCATATTCCATGGGGTACTCATTCTGCAAGCTGTCTTGAAGAAGAAAAGAATTCCACGGTCAAACACAAGCCAAACGTTAATACTTGATTGTCCTCGGAGAACCTGGTTTCCTTAACTCAGAGTTCTGCCAGTTGATTGGGCCATTTCAGTCCTCCAATTGGCATCCAGAAGAACTCATATGGAGCCAGTTCGGAAAGCACTGGATGAATGAGATGATATCCGAGGGACAAAACTGGCCCCTCACTCTCTCAGGCAGGGCCAGTGAGCAAGGTGGTCAGAGAACTGTCCGAGCGGCCAGGCCTGGCTCTGGGACACCATCCCCCAGTTCCTCATAGGAAGCAGCCCATGTCTGCCACTTTAAATTAACTGAGAGCAAACAAGATTCCCACACTTCAAGCCTCAGTGTTTCATCAAGCAGGCTGGGGGTGTTACAGATGAAGCTTCTTGAAGGCTTTCTTAGTAACAGCAAAATTTGTTGTAGGCTTACCATGTGCAGGCACCACGCTAACAAGCATTCTGCATGAATTACATCATAAGGATTTGGTACTATGAGGATCCCCGTTTTACAGATGAGAACACCTGGGGACGAGGTGAATAATAATTCCCGTAACTACAAGGAGTACGAGGCACAGCCAGCACTGAGCCCAGCAGTCTGACTGCTGCCCCCAAGCTCTCAGCCACTCCATTACTACTCATATATCTCAACCCCTCTGACCCTCGGCCTCCTCATCAGTCCAATGAGACTAGTAATTTCCTCACAGGTCTCTTGCCCTCAGCACGGTGCCTCGGCCAGTGCTCAACAAATGGAAGCTGTTCTCACAATTACTTCATCAGCCACTTAGGCAGCTCTAGCAAAACAAAACCCTAACACTTTCCTCTCCCTGCTGGCATCGCTCTTTAAAACATGTTGTGGCTGCCGCAGAATCACAGCATTTTCGAGCAGGAAAGGACCTTAGAGAGCGGGTGTTATTTTTCCAGAATAGTCTAGGATTTATCATGCATAAGAGCAAGGCCTTGGGAATTAATACTGAAGAATGAGCAGCTTCCGCACCCTTGGCCCAGCGCTCCTTTGCCCATGCTTAAGGTCACTATCTACAAGGTGACAGGGATACTCTTGGCCATTCTTCTAGCAAAAAACGGCTGCTTCCCTTGGGCACTTTTACAACTGGTTATTTATAAGCCCAGAAATCTTGTCTGTGTTTATGTTATTAGTCACTAAGCAAAAGCTTATTTTCCACCAGTTGGGAAGGGTTTCCTTTCTGAAAAATGAAAGCCTGTGTCTCTTGGCCAGACAGTTTTACCCAGAAGCCTGGTGGCTCCAGAATGGTAAGGAAAACTATGGCCCTTGACATGCCAGGCCTACCAGGAAAATTAAATCCCTGAATAGAATCTTAGCTCAGCCTGAGTCAGCCCACAGCACTGGGGCCATGGCCAGGTGGTGCAGAGCCTGGATTTAGCACAGCAGAAAGCACCTACTATGCAGATGGCACTGGGGATACCGAAAGAAGACTGTTCCCAGTTTGGAGGGGAAGGAAAGGCAGGCCAGGTAGAAGGCTCAGCAAGAGGAAGGGAACAGAGCAGAAACAGAAGCACCAGCAACTGGCAGGGCCAGGGACTAGGAGAGAAAGAAGAGGGCGATGAATAAAGCACAAGAACTTGAAGGCCCAGAGGGAGCTGCAGGTGAGCCACACAGGCAACCAAACATCGCCAAGAACAATCGAAGAGACAGGAGCAAGGCACAGGACAGCATCCAGGATCCTGGACCTACGAAATTGTTCAGGGCTCAATTTTTTCCAGGAGACTTCCCAGACAGGGATCTCTCCTTCCCTAGAACGCTTGTAATAAGAATAGTTAACATTTATTGAACAGTTACTACATGTCATGGATTAAAACATTTATTCCTCACAACAATCTTATGAGATAGGGATCCATATTATCCCCACTTTATAAATAGGGAACCAAGCCAGGCATGGTGG